TCTCTCTCTCTCTTTTTCTCCCTCTCTGTCCAGTAAAGTTGCAATTTCGAATGTCGGATGTCGAAATTACAAGGAGCTGCCAGTTGCCGATAAACAGCTTACTTTCTCAATAAAGGACGAAGACAATAAGGGCAACTTCGTTCTTGCTGGAATTAAGGCGCTCGTCGGGATTAGAGGGACGCCGATACGAAGGATAAGCCGCGTCCTGTCGTCGCGACGCTGCGTGCAATGCGCGCGATAGCAGATAAATTACAAATTCTACGAATCAAATATCTCTTTTGCAAACAAGGTTCAACGCGAAAATGTATACGATCTCCGGCTTTCGGTAATTGTTTCTGTTTGAGATAAGATTTAGCATTTAAAATCCTCGACGCGATGATCGTCTTAATTTAACATTTTGCTGGCGCGAGTTTTACATATAATTCAAAAGACGGAAACAAAAATTACGCATTTAAGAGAGAATCATTCAAATTGGTTTTTTTTTGTATGTCATAACAGAGAGTCAGAAGAATATTCGTGAAAGAGAAAACCAATCTTTTGTTGAGAAAAAAAAATTTGATTTTCAGTTACCCAAAAAGTCTAAACGAAAAGAGTCGTGATAGTTTCCCTGTGGACGTTTCCCTGTATGCAATTGTGTATCGGAAGAAATCGTCGTCAGAATGATTTAAATCTGTACCGTCGAATGCCCAGATAACTACACTGGAGAATCTCTCTGCCGACAAGTTTTCCAATATAAAGTCGATATTTGTTCCATATACATGCCAAAACATTGGAAAAATTCACTACAACAAGCCCTCAACGTAGTCCCGCCGTTATCGATGGCACTTGGTCGTCACTTTGCAGGAAACGAAAACAATTGAATGAACATGTGAAAAAACATATAAATAATTGTTACACATAGTGAATCTGTTTATTTTTTGAAAATCAGTCGAAATTATTAACTTCAATATACTTCGATAACTTATAAACTTCGATTTTTTCATTTTTTGACGTTTCCAATTCTTGTTTGCAATTGAATTCATTCGATCTTTCCTGTTTGGAACTGAAAAAGCAAAGTATAAATAAGTCATGCGTGCAATTTTTCGCTGATGCGTGTAAAAATGGCAAAAGCCATATTGACAGTAGTTTCATAGAAAAAACTTTTACAATTAACTTAATACTTCTTTTCAAGAAGTTTATTTTTTTCTGTTTTTTTCTCAAACATGTACTCGAATTTTTTATTTTTGTCCGGCTAATTATCTCAGAACCAATTTGATTGAAAATACTTGACGCGATTTGATCTCGCGATTGCTAACTTCGTGCGGAAATGAAATTGAAACTCTCAGTGTATTGAAATTCTTTTGATACCAATATCTTATAATGATTCTGTATAACGTTATAGTACATTTTGTAACAGCACTCAAATCTCATTGCGAGAGAGTACGGATTCGGGATCGATGATGATGTTTGCAGTCAAACGTTTTCTGAAACCTCACAAGCATCTCTATGAAATCTCGTGCTGATTATATTACCGCGAGAATCGAACAAAAAAACCGAGCGATATCTCAAATGACTAGTAATGGTTTTCTGATATGTAAATATTTCGCAAATATTTCGATTCACATAAGTGAAAGTTTAAATATCATTTTTATCATTCTCTTCTCAAAGGTCTAAGTACATTTTAAACTCGTCGTATGTACAAAACTCGCAGGAAAATCATCATTCTGCGAGATGTGTACAAGAGAAAGAAGCGCCCCGTATCGTCAATTTCTTGTTAATTAGATAATTCTAATCGCGCCGCGAGATTCGTGCGTATTGAAAAATTTAATGTAACGTCTGCAACCCCGAAAGTAAAATAATAACCGGGAGGCACATCGTATCACAAACGCGCGCCCCTCCGTACTCGCGCATATACTTGCACTTACGGTCGCGCGTTTCGCTATCGCGTTTTTATGGGCAGAATAAATTTTGTCGCAAAACGATCTCTTGGTCGTCGATATCGAACTCTTGCAACCGCCATGCACAAATGCACACATAACCACCGTCGCCGTTCTGCCTCCCCCTCTTTGCGTATGACATGCGCGCAGACAGCGATTTAAATTCCGGAATAAACGTTACGGCGATGACGAGTTACGTTACGAGGATCGAAGATCGATACGATCGACACGACGATCTCCTTTTCGGCCGATACTGCGTTCCGAAAATGCGAGGGGTGAGATTAAGCTTTGAGATATGGGGATGATATAGTGCTTTATATATATATCGAAGAGTCGAGTTTCGGAGCGCTAAATGTTTCGTGAGATCGACGGGATCGCTATGTGTTACGTGCGATGATAAATTTGCTCTTGCTGGAAACGAGGAATAGGTTCGAATTTAAAATCGACGGAAAACCGCGTTAAGACAAAGGTGCAACCCAAGCGACGTAAGTGAAAGAACGTTTGTGCAAAATCAAGTTGCACACGGATTAAAGACTCTTCAGTAGTTTTAATGTTTTTTTTTCTTTCAAATCAACCACATCGGATGTTTGCTCGAACAGTAGCAATTTTTCGACTAATTAATCATATTTTTCAGGTAACTGGTTTTTTGTAATATATTGCGTAAAAATTTACAACTTCTGCTTTTGTGTCATATTCCTGATGTGTAAATGTCAAAGTTATATCTGCAGTTTTATATTTACACACGAGTAAAAATAAATATCAAAGAATATTAACCGGTCCATGTTAAATTTGTGCTAGTCATTTCGGTTAATATTTGGAATAACTCAAAAAGAGAGAACAATCTGTATATATAAATCAGGGAGACGATCCGTAAATTTATTTATGTTGAATAACCTGAACGAGTATTGGCAGTTCTAATTTAGAATAGCATTATGTATCTTGAAGGGATGCGCACTAAATTCAAATGAATTAAATAATTAAATAATGTGCAGTAAGAGAAAATAACCATTGTCAATTCTGTATGTAAATTTTGTTTGTGAAATATGTCCCAAGAATTTGCACAATCCTGTTCATAAATTCTTGATTGATTTAAAATTATTGTTTTTAAACTTTTGATTAATTAAAAGTTCACTTATTTTCTTTTCGCGAGAAACTCCGGTATTTCGAGACGCTAATATAGCTTTCTATACTGACTGTTTTATCGAGTTAAAACAAAGTAACTGTTTGTATGAACAAGAACTATATGAATGATGTTATTCTATTCTCTTGTTCATGTTACGAAGAGAAAAAAGACTCCTCTTCGAAAAAAATACATAAAAGGAGCTTGCAAGTGACTATTTGTCTGGGCTAAATCTCGATTCACTTATTTTTGAAATCCCTTGGCCAAACACAGACGGTGTCTATTGAAGAATGAGCTGATAACAATAGCAATGGTGAAAACTATGAACATCTCTCGCGCCGGAGCTTCGCAGCGAAGCGGATTCGCACGGACAGTATTTGCATTCCAGAACGTACATACGCGCACAACACGTACGTGTGAGATGCGCGCGTGCGTGTAGGTTAGATTTACATATTTGTTTCGGCATAATGAATTCCATGCATGGTCAGCTGCTAACCACGCAAAAGTTATTACGGGTACACAGATTACAGGTCGCGTTCATGCGACTTGCCGCTCGGGCAAAATCGACCGGCAACAACGCGCTCTTGTTTTTATTAATTTGGTTTGCAAAAATGTTTAATATTCCCCAGAGTTGTATTTAATCGTTTGGAAATTTCGTTATTTAATTTCGAGATTTTTGTTTTTCAGTCAGAAGTTTATCCAATTAAATTTAATTCTATACATATTTATGGGAGAAAGTTCTCGTGTAAAAACGAGAGAGAGTTACTTGTGAGGAAACATTTAGCCGCTCAATTACGCGCAATGCGCTTCGCGAATGCATTTACGCGTGTTTCAGATATTTGTAAATATTTCTAGCCCGGGGCGTTATTCTTCCTTTTCCTCTTTTTCTCTCTTTCTCTCTATCTCTTTTTCTCGCTCGTTTAAACTTTTTCCGCAAAAAAGTTTCGTTATTTGTTTTATATCTTCTAATTCTTTGTTTTATCTCAAAGAATTTATCTCATTATTTTTATCACCGCGGAACACTCCGCGGAAAGTAGTAGTTGGGTTTCTTGCGTCAAGTTTTTTGCAAGATGTGTTTAATTAATCGTTGCAATTTTTTTCCCCGACAGGTATTTCGATGCACAAGGGTTACGCATTTGTGCAGTTTACAAACCCATTTGACGCACGCAGCGCTTGTCTCGGTGAAGATGGCCGCACCGTGCTTAGCCAGATTCTCGGTAAGTGACCTTCCATTCGCGTTTGCCACGTTTATTTGAAGTGTATATTTTTAAAGAGAGACACAAAATATATGGTTAAACGTGCCGTGTCACCGTAAAACCCTGCTTTGTGCAACAAACTTTTACACACTGCTCACAACTATATGAAGGGCTGCATACACACACACACACAAAAAACACAAAATATATATCATATATTTAAAAATTTTACGTTTATCTTGCGCGTTCTACGTAACATTTATATACAAGGCGCAGAGAGCTCGGTTTTAATGTAATATTTTTATTTAAAAAGAAGAGATTTATGAAAAATTCATAAGGGGAATATGAAAACTTTTTTTTTTTATATTGGCGCATTTCGAGCGATAATGGGATATAAGAAGGGAGAAAACGGATTCGCATTAATATGCAACGACGCGGAATATGTCGGCAATATCACTTTGACGTTATTATTTATTCAACACTTGTCAGAGAAAGTGTATCACTCTTTCAGCATTTGGCGACGCGAAACGGCTCCGAGCACTTTCTATATAAGACATATTTATGACTTGTGCAAAACATCTAAAAAAAACATGCCGCGCAGGTTCGTAATAGATATTGAAAATGAAATATTGAAACATTGTCATCTTCAGAGTAAATATTTCATTTTAATATTGTGCATTGCTCTTCAAAAATATATTTTATTTATTATTGAAACGAAACTAAAAAATGTTATATAAGCAGATATATTATTGCTAATATTGTAAAAATATCACAATATTTATTTTATTTTCAAATATACAGATTTTAATTTAGATAAGTCTTATTTATGGTATATTATATATATACGTATCGGTGGAGAACGTATTTGCGTGTGTGCTTGATGAAAAGTCATTTACGCAAATTGCGAGAATCGTCCGCGTGTTTCCCATCGCGCGCCTCTGACGTTCTAATCCAGTATAACTGACGTCGGTAATGCCAGTCCTTAAGATATTAAATTAGAAACAGCGCATTCGCATTAGGACGCAGAGAGAGCTGCGGAAGTCTTGCCTGTGTGGCCGGCCATGGAAGCATATCCTATAGCCGATCATTTGGTTATGACACACACGGCACAGAGCTCTGCGCGTCTTACAAAGGCTAAGCTGATTGAATACACGCACGTGTGAAATAAATGACGAATGACGAGACGATAGGATTGAAACTCGGGGACTTAATGTGTGTGTGTGCGTGTGCGTCGCGGCGGCACACATTCGGATAAAGCGTTGTTGCGTTCTATCGAGCGCGCCAAATCACCATGTCGCGTATTTTCTCTGCCAGAATGTGGATTGAAACATATGATCAGCGCAAATCTTTGCTCCAATAACAGAACTTAATTAATTTGAGTGACACGATTAGTGTGTGCGCGACTATTATTATTTATTACATTCTCTTTGTTCAGTCACCAGCCTCAGTTAGTCGATATATATATATATATTACTCGGGGCTTTCACACTATATTGTGTGATTGAATAATTAGACATCTGAATATAGTGACAAACAAACACGTATATTGATGAAAGCTTTCTTTAAAGAGGATTTACATGTACGAGAATATTGAGAGATAATTCACTGCGCGCTGGTCAAAGTGTGATTAAACGGTACATCAAAACGTATTTACATATCATGTAATAATCATGTTCGCGCATGGTGACGATGTATGCGAAATTTTGTCACGTCGAAACAGTATAAATATGCGAAGCTTTCGATATATGTTTGTAGTCGATATATATATATTATTCGCTATTTAAAATTTCATTAAAATTGAAAAATTTTCTTTATCAGTTTGACACATTTTTATAAAAAAAGAAAATTCTTTGACTTATATTTATATATATATATTTTTTATCAATTAGTTTGATATTGAAACGTATTTTGTTTTATTTGTTCCATTATCGTCACTAATTACGCCAAAATGTAGTTTTGTTTTATGGGATCTCAGATAGTTCGGAGCATCCGTGTATTTATGTGCTGTCTGCGAAAAATGTTCATGAGATTTTTGAGCATGCCCTTGGGACATGTGAGATTGTTGAGGCATATCCCTTGTACGTTCTTCGTAATCCATGTCCTTCATGTTCTACATGTCCCGCGTATGGCTACCTCTCGAATATCGAATACACGTATCAGCATCGAATTTTTCGGAGTACTCGTTTTTCTGTATAACTATAATATAGCGATACACACACACGACAAACGCATACGCACACGTACACCAGCTTTCGATAGATAACCGACATTCATTAACTGTTTTTTATTCAAATATTTTTCACATTATAGATATATAGTTAGCAAAACAACGCGTAATACATGCACACATGCAATCTCTTTATTGAAATTTCTTTCAATCAAAAAATATGACAATAAAAGCAAGCGCGAATGAACAATGTCTCCAAAATATATCGTGCGCGTAAATTTCTGTAAAATGTGCAACGTGTCATGTCCGATAAGTCTCGTAGAACTTAATAATCCCTTTAAATTTCTAAACGAGTTTCGAAGTCTCTACAAACTCCTGTCAATTACGTTGTCGATTCGAGCGCAGAGCAGCTCGGCAGCCGCACAGCCTTGTGCTTTCGCCCAAATATTTCTCACCGTTTCTCACATTATAGCGCGCCAGCGCACGGAGCTGTCCACCCTCCTATTTCTAACCCGCTTTTCCCACTTCCCCCGTGTGGCAAGTCGCACTTGTAAATGCACGCCACCGTCCGCGCGCTCGCGCGCGCTCCCGCGTGTGTACGTGCTTGTCTGCCCCGAAGGTAGGCGAAGCATCGGGCGAACCGCCGGAAACACAGTTCTTGCATTAGCCGAAGAAAGATTTCTGGGGTAATCGTGGCGGAGAAACTGCCATCCCGGGAGGAAAGAGCGGAGGGGGAGAGAAACGAAGAAAGAAAGGACGCGCGCGTGCGCGCACCCTCGTTCTTATCAGGGCATCCCTCCCTATAGATGGACGGCGCGGGGGTGGCGGGAAACGGGGGTGGTTAGCGACGGCTAATTCCATTGGGTGCGCGAACGAACGGAGTAAAAGAGTTCCCACGCGATAAGCTTCAACCCTTTGACGCCGCTTGTGTCTCCCGAAAAGCGAATCGATCTACTCTACTGGGTGGCGCTCGAAAAAAAGAAGAAAACCCGCGCAACGGTATCCTCAAGTGTCCGGGAAGGGAAAAAAGTGTTCCATTTCACGGGAGCTCTCCCGAGAGGGACCGAACATAAGCGAGCTCCTCAATTACTTTAGCAGTTTTATCGTTTGGATATCCGGTCTTGAGATAACAAAACCACGCGAACAAGAGATCATCGTTGATTTTTTTTTTGTTTTTGTTTTATTTAGATTAAACGCCTATAATTTCCGCGTATATTTGTAATAATAAACATGTATATGTCGAGAAACTTAGAGGAGCTCTCAAGAAATCTAACTTCATAAATGCTTTAACGACTCTGGGAAGAGGAGAAAAAAACAGTTCTGAAAAAAATCTTAGATTAATATTAATTGTGATATTCACTTGGCGAGCGTCATCAACGTTTACCGTCGACCACCCCGGAAGACGAGGGTCACATGACGAGAGTAATGCACGGCATATGCAAATACCAGGTGGACGATGATTTATTATACTAATCTCGTTACGAATTAATGTGCTGATTTATGATGGCGCGGTCCTTTTTCAGTCTACGCAAGGTGTCCCAACGCCGCATGAAAACGCGGCATAAGTCATCCCCGTCGCACGGATTTTTTCAAAGCCTCTCCCTTGCACCCTAGAATCCCTCCCAAAAAAATCCGTAAATCTAACACATTCGTATATTAAAAACTTCAGAAATTCTTATACTTTTGGTCCATTCCGTGACACCAGTAGCTATCCTAAATGATTACAAATTACAAACTATAAGTTACGCTTATCAAATTGTATTTAAAATTTAAGTTTACTTAATACACACACAGATACATGGCTATATATATATATGTATCTTGAAACAAATCTAATACAAAATTATACAGACGATATATTATCATAAAACTTTTAATGATTCTACACATATTTGTCAAGAATATTTTTATTTATATTGTTTTATTGTTTTATTGTTTTATTTTACTTGCTCAATAATAATATCAATGAATAGAGAACACATTTGCAAATTTATACTGCAATGCAAGTAAAACAAGATCAAGGATTAAATGTATAAGCCGAAACAAAAATAAAGAGATTTTATAACGTCACGCACGCGCGCGCGACGACGTTACGCGTACCGATAGGTGAAAATCCACAAGCGAGCGTGCCGCGCGCTTCAATCTCTATCCCGTCCCAAATCCGCCGCTAATTAACAACAACGCTCGTATTGTTTAATTTTATTATGCAACGTTATTTTAGACTTCAGACTCGTTTATCCGCCACGAACACAACACGTCGTGTTGCGAGCCGGAAATTCCGCTAATTAGGGAGGGCGTATAATGTAATTGCGCTCGGGATCTGCCTCGTCCCCTCGTCGTTTTCCCCTCGTCAGTCCATCCCTCGCCGCTCTTCTTCCGCCCACCGTCGTTGAGCGAGCTCAAAGTAACCTTTTGCGTGAAATGCGCTTACACTAACGAAGTCCGCGCTCGTTACTGGTTACATAAACGATAACCGGCTCAAAGTGACGCTCTCTCGGTGACATGTAGAGTCGGCGCCGGCGCCGCCGTCGCGATGCCGGAGCGTCGTTTATTTGAGCTCCGCGATCCGACCGGGGCTCTTTCCGATAATGCCCAGATCGTGGATTCACGTCGGCCGTCAAAGTACCGAGAATAACATACGCGCGTTCCGCGCTCATTAGACATATACCAAGTCCCTTATTACGTTTAAATGATATCCCTATTTTGGACGAGAAAGATAAGAATTGCAACATGAACGTAAAGCTTCAAACCTCGCAAAATTTTTCTTCGCGACGAATGTATTCGCGAGCGCGCTGATATTCGGGAGCGCGCGTTTTTTCACGGAAAATATGGAGTAGCACACGTGACACACGTG